GGCCAGTAAAGGGAATGACCAAAATTTAGTAATCATGAGGGACAATTACAAAAGTAAACTGCAAGAGGAATTGACAAACCTCGCAAATAAATAGCAAATAAGATTAACATCACGTTGGATCGAAGAGGGTAAAAGATTGACTAAGTACTTTTTTGCAAGATACAAACAGTGACATGCTGATTCTGTAACTAATAAAACCAGAATTTTGGAGGCACTAGGAGCAACTGATCCTAATGAGATTTTGTATTATATAAAAGAATACTATAAGAAAGTTTATAGATCAGAGCTAGTAGAATAGAGCACATTTAAAGAGTTTACAAGTAAGGTTATAAAAGTTTCAATAGAAGATAATCATAACCTCGTAAAAGAAATTTCAAAACAGAAAATTGAAAACACAATTGCAGCCAGTATTTAAAATTCAAATTTGATTTTATGATCTCAAAAAAACAATTTTTAAAATTTTAATATTCTCAAAAATTTTTTAATGTTCTCAGTATTAGAAAATCAAAGATTTTTTAAATATTAAAAAATTTTATTAAATATTCTCAAATAGAAAACATTTTTATATAATTCATGTTCATAAAAATTGTTAAATGTTTTCTTAAAATACTGAAAACATCAAATTTTAAACACTAATCACAGCACTTCCTAAAAATAAGGCCCTAGGAACAGATGGACTCCCATACGAGTTTTACAAAAAAATGAGAGAAGTATGCAGTAAAGTTTTTACAAGGGTTTTTAATGAAGTACTTACTACTGGTATACTTTCTAAATTATGGTGAAAAAATATTATCACGCTAATTCCAAAAAATCAGAGACTCTAGAGGACATTAGTAACTGGTGCCCAATTTCTTTGACCAACTGTGATGCCAAAATCTTTATGAAGATTTTGGTCAACAGACTAAACAAGATTTGCACAAAAATGATCAGTACACATCAACAAGAATTCATTAAAGATTAGTCAATCATGGATGCTATTTTGGATATTACCACTATGATTCAAAACCAGAATAATCAAAAGCCTGTTACATTGGATTTTGTTGGTAGACAGAAAAGGCATTTGATCATGTAAATTATGAGTAAATGCATAAAATTTTGGAAATAATGGAGTTGATCAAAGATTCATTACTATAATTTGCATGTTATTCAAGGAACTAAGAGCATTTATTACAGATGATAGTATGTATCAGAACCCTTCAGAATTGTGAGAGGGGTATGACAAGAGAACCCAATCTCGTCTTTACTATATATAATAGCATTTGAGCCTTCCTTAGAACATTAAATAAAAACTTAACAGAAATCCTAGTACAAGGTTTAAAATTCAAAATAGCTGCATATGAGATGATCTCTCAATAGGAATAGCTTCATCTATAGAATGGACCAAGTTTAATTTATTAATATGATTAAAAATATGAGAAGTTATCTAATGCCCAAATCAATAAGTCAAAGTCAATTGTTGGTCTACTAACTGCAAATGCGAGGCGAGCAGAATTAGATGAAGCTTGCAGTTTTAAAATTCTACAAAAAATGAATCAATTTTAATATTAGGTTACAAAATTAATTTGGAGGGTTAGCTCAATAAGAGTACATAATCTAAAACTATAAAAAAGATAAAAGGAATTATAGGAAAAATGAGAGCACGTAATCTATTCTTTAAAAAGAAAATTATAATAGCTAAATCTTTACTTATATCAAGAATAGTACATCACTTACCTCATGCCCCCAAATTATAAACAAGTAGTAGAATTAGTAATTTGATAGCTCAATAGATAAAAAATAAGTCCAAAATGCTTTCAAAATACTTAACTTTTCAGAAATGGTACAACATGAAGGGCTTAATGCACTGACAGTCAAAGACATGCTAGACACAATACTCCTTTCTATCTGGCTTAAATAGTGCTCAAGTTCTTATCTAGTGAGAATTTCTGGGCAAGTGTGGAATGCAAAATTAATAAAGCAAACCTGAAGGTCAGAAGAAATATTAGTATTAAATCAGTGTTAAACTAGAATTATAGACATCTCTCATATAGGCCATTACTGATTTGTATGAATTTAGACATTTTTGCTACCCCTAAAATCAAGTAAATTTGCTAAAAGTTGGATTATTACATATAAATTAATAGTAATTTGCTAAAAACTTACTGCAACCCTGCTAGCAATCGTTGAAGAATTTTTTTTATTTTCTGCACAAATTTAATTTTCTGCACGGATTTTTATAATAAAAAATTACTATATACTTGCCTAAATATTAAATGCTAGCTAATTTTTTATATATTAAAACAATAAATTCGAATATTAATATATTTTCACAATTTAATTTATTACAAAATACAAAAAAAAAAAAAATTAAAAAAAAAAAATAAAAAAATAAATACAAATTACAATATCAGATATCAACCTGCTTCCAACTATTATACTACATCCCAACTATCATGCTACATCCCAATATCCCAACCATTATCTAAATCCCATACCAACTATTATGCTATGCCCCATGCTAAGTATCGTGATACTAACTAACATGCTATATCACATGCTAACTATTTTACTTTATCCCAAACTATCATACAACGTCTATGAAAAACCCAATACGATGTACCAGTAACATAGTGAAATACACAATACTACCAACATAATGTGATAACGGTCTACTAATATAAACAACAAAATACTCCAATACTAATGATAAAGATACACAACAGGAACAACACCTTTATCTAAAAAAGAATTAGTCAGTGCATTATAAGCAATATACTGAAAATGATGAATAAAATGAATACTTAGTTATATGTGCAGCCAAATCCAAATCCGAATGCAAATTAAAGTACCTGTATGATGAGTTTGCTAATAAAGAAAAGCACTGAAATTGTTTCTGAAGAACCTAAAAAGGAGAAAATATGAAAAGTTAATTAATAAACCAAAAAAAAAAGTACAAGCACTGAATTGAAAACTGCTAGCGATAAAAAACGTACACTAGTGACAAACACCCATAAGTGATAAAAGAAGATACACCGAATAAATGACACCAATGACGAAAGAAATATCATTACTAATAATAATCAAAATTGGAACCTAAAAAAAAAAATTTAAATATTAGTACCGGTGCAAAAAAATAAAGAAAGTCAAGAAATAAAAAAAAACTTATTATTGTTATATTATCTAATAATCTGTGTAACTAGTGATCATTACCATCGTTATTTCAAAAAACAAATAAAACTTAAAAATAATTTAAATTAAATAATAAATAATGAATGTTGCTACCTTGTATCCTAGGTGATATTACCTAGTTCGAAAATCAGATCGGGAGCGGGCTCGGAAAATAGGTCAAAAGCACCATGGTGCAACCAGATCACGTGATCAGTATGATTGATACGATCGATGCGGAAGTACGCATTTTATATCATTTAATTTAATTTATTATATACATAACAATAACAATTATTACACAATTTGCGGTATTACATGTAATATACATACAAGAATTTATTAAGCATATACAACGAATTATACAATGTTTATATCATGTTACGGCATCAACTATTAATACCACCTGATTGAATATAAACTACTCAATCTATATAAACATAACCAACTCTAATAAATGGTACTAACAACTAGAACATTTACAACTATAAACTAAACCAAAGCAAACAGCGGCAACATTGATAATGAAAGTACTGTGCAACCCAAATGATGTGCAGGAAAAAGATGTGCTAGATTATAGAAAGAAATAAGGAGTACTAATAAAAAAATTCACATACCAAAACGGCAAGACAAACTTCCCAAATATGCCTATTAACTGGAACGAAGAAATCGTCACCCAAGAAAATTTAAAATGACCTTAACATACTAGAAAAAAAGATGCATTAGAACAAGCTGAAAATACAAGAAACTCAAAACCACAAATTACCTAATTGCTCTAACTACAAATTATCTACAAATATTCTAACCCTAACCGATAACTAAATAACTCACACTAACCCTAACCCTTACCCTAATGATTAATACAACTTTAGTTCAAAGACTTCGTATAATACATATCGCAATTGCACAGACCAATGGTGAAATGATGCTAACGCAGCACGTACTGTGGCAAACATACGATGAAGCTTATATGAGGTTTAAGCGATAACACCTTAACGTGGCACATCAGTGAAGTCACACTGGACAACAAGCAAACAGTAATTCCAACTAATAATATTAAGGAGAAAGTATGCATAAGTAATGAAATTACAATATAAAGTAAGCAGCAAACCAAGCAACAAAGCAAGAATACAAAGCAACAAGCAATATGAAGCAACCAGCAAACAGGCAGCAAAGCAAATAGCAAACCAAGTGGTAAAGCAAACAGGTGACAAAATCTAGAACACCGAAATTACAGCTCTATAGCAAGTATGCCAAGACAACGGCATCTAACTACGACACCAAGGTGACAACACCCAACAACGATACCAGTAGCTACACCATAAAATGCAACAAGTGACAAAAAGAAGTGGTAACCCTAACTTGGACATGTGACACTACTAGTAAACAATGACAATCTTTATCTGACCTGATATAGGTGATATCACCTAGAGTGAAAATTAGTTAAAATCATAAATAATTTAAATAATAAATAATTTAAATAAAAAAAATCGTTAAAAAATTAAAATAATAAAAAAAAAATACAGTACGAAAAAAAAAATAATAAAAAATAAATCAACAATAATAAAAAAATTACATTATAAATAGAGTTGTTAATGAAGTACTCCAAACTATAATAAAACTATAAACCACTCCAGTTTGAAACTGGAGTAGGTAATATGTTTTATAAATAGTTTGGAGTACTCCATTAACAACTCTAGTTATAAATTAATAAAAATAAATTAAAATTAAAATAAAAAGAAATTAAAATAACAAATAAAATAAAAAAAATAAAAAATAAAAAAATAATAAATAAATAAAATAAAAATAAATACGTTATTAAAATAAATATAAAAAAAAACTTAATAAGACCCTGTGTCGAATAGCGCAATGGTTAACGCTCCGGGGTTGCACTCACAAGGTCGCTAGTTCGAGTCTAGTGGATGACAAAAACTGTGTTGGGACCACGAGTGTCAAGGATCTGTGATGAGAAACCGCACTGCTTCCTATTTCCGGACGAGGTACTATAGCGATAACAGAGTTGCGTGACATAGCCACATTGGTCATGCGGCATCCAGAAAAGGAAAAATCTGACTAGAAACGTCGTAAACATAAGGACCATCCACTATAAAAGGAAAGTCCATGAGGAAAACCAGACCTGATCCGAATTCAGAAGGTAGTACCTGGTAGCGACGAAAAAAAGGACCTATACAAGTATATCGGCAGAGTAAACTAACTCCTTAAAGTTGATCTAAGAAGCCTACGGGTGGGGCGCACCAAATGACAGACCGGCTGGACTCAGTTAGGGAAACCAGAAGAAAGAGGAGTAGGTTAAAATAAACTTTGTAGGACAAAATTAAAAATAGAAATTGAATATGTAATGAAAATGTAGGGGGCCCGTAGGGTCACTAAGACCAATGACCTTAATAAAGACCGCTAACAGCAGCTTCGGGTGTACACACAAAGAAATTTAAAAAAAAAAAACTTAATCGTTTTAAAATAATTAAAAAAATATTGAAAAAAATATTTATAAAAAAAATTATTAAAAGAAAAAAAAATCGTATAAAATTAAAAAAAAAAAATATAAAAAACTTAAAAATAAAAAAAAATATAAAAATTAAAAAAAAACATAAAAAATATAAAAAAAAATTAAAAAAATTTAAATTTATAAAAAAAAATTTTATAAAAAAAATGTAATATTTAAAATAATAATAATAATAAATTAAAAAGAAAAGAAAAAATATTATATAAAAAAAAACGGTACGAAAAAAATTAATTAATAAAAAAATAATAAATAAAATTAAAAAAATAATAAAAAAAAACAAATATTACTAAATATGATAAATAATATAAATAAAATAAAAAAATAACCGTTCAAAAATATATATATATAAAAAAAAACATTTAAAAAAATATAAAAAAATGTTTAATTTAAAAAATATAAAAAAAATGTTTAATAAAAAAAATAAAATAAAACTGATAATATTAAAAAACTGATAATAATAAACCATATAAAAAAAATTAAAAAAAATAAAAAATACAATAATTTAAAAAAAAAAAACACTACGTGTATGTACACGGGTCTAATCAAACTCACATAATATATAAAAATAAAAAAATAAATAATACACGTAGTATACAAATCTTTTTTTAACAAAGAGCGTGCTTTTTTTACTTTATTTATTGGTTTATTTATTTATTGTTTTTAATGTTTTTATTTTCCCAATGTAATTCATTCAAAAAAGGATAAATTGCTAAAATGTTCAATATAACAATGCGAAAATTTAAATGTTTTGCCAAAATTCAATATGTAATCATTATTTAAATTAATACTAATTCGCCAAATTTTAAACTTGAACCTTGGTTTAAATTTTAACTAATTTGCTAAAAAAAAATATGACATATATGAAAGATGTCTGGGGTCCTGTTAAACTTGATACCAATTAAAGTTAAGACTTGTTTAGACAAGTGGAAGCAATATATAAAAGCATGGAGAAAAGCAGAAGGTAACATACTCACAGAGTCAAAACAGGGTTTATGGAGGTTGGAGAGCATTTAGATAATCCACAAGTCAGAAGCGGAATTCTCAGTAAGGGAGACAGTGAAATTTTTTTATGAAAAAGTAGGAAGATTAATAACAACTCAACAAGACATGAATGCAATACAGAAGAGTCAGAGCTCTGGAAGTGGCAAAAATTATGGTAGATCTCAAACAAAAGAAAAGACATTTTCTGGTGATTTCAACATGGGGTCTTACCTCTAAGTTTCAGAATTAAGCATTTTGTACAAGATGGTGGAGTATATCCTCTATGTGGAGAAAGAGAACAAACTATCAAACATTTTGGGGTTGAATATAAACTCAGTAAACAGGTATGGGAAATCTCATGCAGCTTTTTTAAAGAACAAAGAGAAGTAGCACCAAGGAGCATAGAAGAAGTTACCTCTGCAACAAATTTAAGGGATTAGCAAAATCTACAAAGAAGAAAGGCAGTGATGTGGATACTCATAAATGCAATATAGAAAATCTGGCTCTGTTATACACAAGCAAGATGGGGGAATAACCCTATCCCAGAACCAATACTACCACATATAATTAGAAATAGGTTGAACAAAAAAATTAAGATGCTTAGGCACAATAAGGGTAAAAGCAGCTAGGCAAAAGAGTCATTATTAAAACATTAAGTAACGAATGATATTAAAAGGTAAACAGAAAAGCCTGATATGACATAAACTTGTATATTTTAATTTGATATATTAATAAAGTACACCACTGAGCATCTCAGTAGAATTATAAAAATCAAAAAAAATTAGGCCACGCAAAGTTGATTTTTTGTTTTGCATTACCCACCATCCCATTTTTCAATTTTTTTATTTTTTTATTTTTTTTTTAAATTCCAATTGTAGCAATTGCTAGATTTTTGACATCTATTTTTTTACACTCTTTTCATCCAGTGTCACCTGATAAGACCTTAATTTCCCGTAATTGTCTAATAGGACTGATAGGAAAAATATGACTTCTGGCCCAATTTTTTGATTCATTGTTGTGCAAAATGAAAAATTAACCTTGTATAAACTTAAATGTGAACATTATTCTATTTGCAGTAAATTAAAAAAAAACCGTCCTGAATTTAGAAAATTCATGCAATGCAAAACGAAAAATCAACTTTGCGTGGCCTTATATAACAAAGATAAAGATTAATAACCTAAAAATGCTAAAATCAATAAAAATAATGGGTTTGTAAGTAAATTAAATGAATTTAATAAATAACTAAGGCAAACTTCCCTAGGTACATCCTCTCCAAGTGCACAACCTTTTTAATTACAATTTAAATTTAGGCTAAATAAATATTGGACCGCACAAATGCATTTTTTTAATAATTCTCTAACTGCACGTTGTTAAAAGTTCAGATCTATGGTATAAATTTAGAGAGGTCTAAATGTATCTTACATTTGTTAGTCGTAGCAACGTATGCCTTTTTAACTCAAAAAACAGCATACTTCTTTGTATAGCTTCAAAATAATCATCTTATAAGTCGTTATAGATTCCGTGGATTCTGAATCTACACATCAAATATTTTTTTTACATATATAATTTATTCTTAGAAAATTCTTTAGTAGATTATCGATCAATTACTATATTTGGGATTGCTAAAGCCTTGTACCCACGTAATTTTTGAAATTTTAGTTATAATTAGGGTTAGGGTTAGTTTGGCATTAAGAGAGTGTGTATATATATAGGTAAAATTGCCTTCTCTATATTTTTTATTAATGCACCAAAACGGGTTTAGACAATCGTTTTTATATTTTTGCATTTTTTTTATTTTTGACTTCTTCATGTAAACAAAATTTTATGATTCTGATTGGCTGATCTACATATAAAAAGTCACGTGGGTACAAGGCTTTAGCAGACCCTATATTTGGAGGATGGTGCGTTTATAAGTTTTTGATTATTTAATTAAAATTAGGGTAAGGGTTAGTTAGGGGTTAGGATTAGGGCTTAACTTATAAGTAAAATTGTCTTCTTGACATTTTTTATTAATGCCCCTAAAAAGATTTAAATACTCGTTTTTTGTATTTTCAGCATTTTCCACTTTTTTTCTTTGTTTTTATCTTGTCAGACTGATTCATAAAGATCAAACTTTACGATTTGATTGGCTTTGTATCATGTGAACACACCTGGTTTTAGATGACCCCCAAATATAGGGTCAGCTTAGTGATGTGCTATTTATATTATGTTCAAATTTTTTTTAGTGTACAGTACGTATAGTACTTATATAGTAAAATTGCTCTAGTGATTATATTTTAAAATTTTTTTTAATATTAGTCTATATTACCATACAAGCGCGAAATATCACTCCCCTGAGTAGGGTCTAAATGGGAGTTCTGGGACAGAAATCTGATAATGTATCCAGAAGAGGCTTCAAGCCCCTCTACAAACCTTTCTAGATATATTTAATTATATATCGAATTCAAGCTCTAAATTACGCTAGAGCAAAATCCTATTAACTTACTCTCCTTACCCCAAATTTGGAATTCCAACATTAAGGAGTATATAGTCTTAGTTAACGCTCTGGCTATGTTTTAATCCCAAACAAGATAACAAAACAATTATGCTATCTCGCTTGCCCTTGAAATGAGCAGATAGCACCAAGGACCAAAGTGTCCGAGTGTACTTCTCTGTGAGCCCATTCAAGCCTAAAATGCATACTATTTTCTATGTTATCCTAGAATTAATTCAAAAAGCAATTTATTACTATCTAGCAAAGAACAAAAATCTTACTGAAAATGGGGCTTGCCCCATTTTTGGTAAGACTTTTTGTTTCCTATACCCAAGTCTTACCAAAAAGTCTTACCAAAAATTTAATCCGACAAAGTTTTACCAAAAAGTCTTACCAAAAAAATTTAAACTAGTAAAGTCTTACCAAAAAGTTTTACTAAAAATCACTATCTATTCTGAGTTTTTTAAGGCCTTATTACGCAATCTGTTATAATATTGGATCACATAATAGCCCTTAACATGTAATGAACACCGCCCCGAACTCAAGCCAGTGGGCTTACTACATTCACTACACAGAATGCGTACCTTAGATTTCTAATGAAAGTGGTACCCTTCAGGTTGCATACAAGGCCTACTGCAAGCCTTGCCATTATTGTGTAAATATAGGCAAGAATATTCTCCTATCATTTTTGCTTATAGGGAAGAATAATTAATTAAAGAAAAAAGTCTGTAAAGGTATTATATATTCCGTAAGTTACTATCATCAAGGGAAATAATTAATTAAAATAAAAATTTTATAAAGTATTATATACAAATCAAGATGGCTAAAGGTAAAAGAATTTGTGATAGATGAGGTTATAACTTTGCAACACCACGTAAACTTCGTGATCATTTAGAAAGAAAATTCAAATACAAACCAATTACACAAATCACAATCCCCCAAGGCATCCC